GTGAGCATAAGCATGGTTTCTTCAGCTCCCTTGCCCCCCAGTTCCACAGGGCAATGCAGTAGGCTCAGATGGATGCTATACAAGCAGGGATCTGCATTGCAGTTGAGGAATGAGCACTGAGGTCAGGGGCTCAGGACTTTTTGGGCAACGAGCAAACAAGCCAGTGTCTCTCCCCTAGGTACCACAGCTAAACAGTAAGTCACACTGTGGTCACCTTGCCCAACATAGTTGCCCAACATAGTTGCTATCTGCAGCAATGGCTGCATATTAGGAGATGATAGATCTTGCGGTTTAAGACAGTAAGAATGTGCAGGAACCTGTGGCGGACTGCTTCTCCTGACAGACACATTTGTTTTACTGAAACATTCTTAGAACTGCTCCGAGGGTGACAAATATGTTAATTATCTTCACCTATTCATCCCACATTGTATTTATAAACATAACATTTTGTACCCCATACATATTAATAACTTGTTAATTTAAAATAAACTTGAGAACTGCATCCCACAGTCTAAGGTTTTTCCTGCCCACCCTTCCTTCCTTCTCCCTCTCCCCCACAAAAGTTAAGCATGCATCTAGACCCTCCCTGACTCCTGGCTCCCTCCCCATTTTCCCTGCAGGTGTTTTCCCTACTAAATCTCTCATATGTCTAATCCCATCTTGGCATCTTACCTCCCAGAGAACTCAAACGAGCACAGATGGCACAGGAAGCAGTCCAAGAAAATAAGTGATGGTGAGATGGAGTTCTGGGACTGCTTCACTCATTGCCTGGTGGGTAAAACGGACACTGTCCTGGCGACATGGGGCATGAATAGTCCCAGGTACAGGGTGGCAGTTCAAGTGCTAAAGATTTCTATGGAAATGACCTGGGAAAACCGGGAGGATGGTCTTGCAGGTGTGACTCTTGAAAAATCTGGGAGGACTAAAGCCTGCAAAGATATTGGAGATGGCTAGATAACTTAGGCATGTTAAGTGTCTTGATGTCCTGTAGCAGGGTAATGAGAAATGAGCGACACTTAATCAGTGGCTAAAGACTGCAAGTGAGAGAACTGGAGGTCTTCCGTGGAGCTTTACAGAGACCCTGATCACCTGCTGTGGGAGACCTGGCACAGCTGAGCCAAAGATGTGATCGAGTTGCAGAACTCCAGGGAGATTAAAAAGACAGTATTTATTCATAGCAGGTATGTCTAGACTTGGAAAGACTTGGATGCCCCTGAAGATGCTGACTCTGCAGACATGACAATGATGCCCGTCAGTTTGCAGAGGGGGCTCACTTTTCCCTAGTAAAAGCTAGCACTTTCCCTGCACTGGAAGATGCTGCACAGGCTGCTCCCACTAGGCAACCAGTCCCAGAAGCCATCCCCAGCCCCTCCTTCTCTGGTGATTGGACTGATAATTAGGGTCTCATCCCAACATGACCGGACTGGGGAAGTGCCAGGCCTGATAAAGAAGGGAGTATCCACCAACAGTTACCAAAAAAATGAGCTGGCACACACTGGTAGAAGCCAAAAAGCATTGTTTGGATTTTGAGGGTGCTACATCAAGAGAGCCAGAAAAGCAAAAATTCAGACTTGGGAGCACTTTGTCAGGATATAGCATTTAATCCCCCGGCAAGGACCACAGCAGATGAGAAGTCTCCACTAAGGCGAATCTCAGAGGCCTGGTGAAAGTAGTGGCAATGGTGGGCAAAGTAGAAAGGCCTGAGCTGCCCCAGCAAAAGCAGAGAAAGGAGTAAAGGGAAGTAGGCATACTGGACTGAACAAATTATGTGAAGTCAGCAACCCCACAGAAGACATTGTTCCACAGCAGGACCAGAGGACACCCCATGCACTGAGGCCACCAGGAAGGCACTGGTGGGAGGTGGACTTCTCTGCAGGCCAGGGCTGACAGTAAGAGAGACCATCACAGAGCTGGGCTCATCAATATCCAGGGGGACGATGGGGCTCCAGGTAACAGAGACCAGGGAGAAGTGCTTAACCTCCAAAAGGCAGGAGGCCACGAATACCATAATGAACCACAGGGTCTGAAAAGTAGCCTTTACCTTCAGAGACTTGTGGTGATGGCTAATGGAACATGGTGCCCCTAGGAGCAATAGAGTGAACAAAGGTTTGGCTAAATATTCACAAGCTGAAAGAGAATGGAGGAGCAGGAGGCTGAGAGAGGTTCCCCCAAAAATGTCCTACCTTATTGCTCAGCTCCCAGACTTCAGTTTATTTATGGGTCTGGAGAGGTAGCTGGGTCCCCAGGAAGGACAATGATGAGTATGTGATGATTCACCCAGTACTCCCCCAAAGGGACCTGCAGCCACTTACTTGGGGATATGTACATATACTGGCGAAAGAATATCCAGACATGTGGAGGAATAATGGACTCAAGATCTAATCTGATACCTAGAAACCGGAAGCATTATCACGGCCCTAGTTAGACTGAAAGCTGATGGAAGCTGAGTAAGTGATGTGCTGGCTAAAACTCAGCAGGCCTGCTGACCTACCTAGCCCCAAGTGTATAACTGAAATTGATCTGGCAGCTGGAGTAAACTACACGTGGCTCCCTGGCCTATTGGGGTAAGAGCTGTCGCAGTGAGTAAAGTCAAGTAGAAACCTCTGAAACTGCACCCCCACCGTGGACAAGAGTAAATTGCAATGGTGTCATGTGCAGATTATAGTATACAGTTGTTCAATCAAACACTAATGTAGGTGTAACTGTGAAAATACAGTAGTCCCCTCTTATCCATGGTTTCTTACCTGTGGTCAACCACTGGCAGAAAATATTACTTACAGTATTTTGAGACTACATTCATACAATGTTTATTACAGTATATTGTTACAATTGTTCTATTTTACTATTATTGTTGTTAACCTGTTCCTAATTTATAATTTAAACTTTATCATAGGTATTTATATAAAGGAAAAAACATAGTATATATAGGGTTTGATACTATTCAAGGCTCCAAACACTCACTGAGGGCCTTGGAACATATTCCCTGTCAATAAGGGGGGAACTACTATATTTTGTAGATGTGATTGACATCTACAATTAGTTAAGTGATGATTAGCATTGACAAAATGGGCAGGCCTCATCCAATAAGTTGAAAGCCTCAAGAGCAAAACAGGTTTCCCTGAAGAAGAAATTTTGCCTGTGTCAGCTCTTGTCCCATGAATTTCAGGCTTGCCTAAGCAGCCCCCACAATTGTGTGAGCCAATTCCTTGCCATATAAAAAAACAGGTTGGGTTCGGTGGCTCAGTCTGTAATCCCAGCATGTTGGGAGGCCGAGGCGAGTGGATTGCCTGAGCCCACGGGTTTGAGATAAGCCCGGGTAACTTGGTGAGACCTCGTCTCTACAATAAAATAAAAACTAGCTGGGCATGGTAGCGCGCATCTGTAGTTCCGGCTACTCAGAAGGCTGAGGCGGAAGGACTGCCAGAGCCCAGCAGGTCGACGCTGGAGTGGCCGTGAGCATGTGTGCCACTGCACTCCAGCCTGGGCGAAGGAGTGAGACTTCAACTCAAAAAAAAAAAAAAAAAAAACTAAAACAAACAAACAAAAAAACAATCAGACAACATGATCCAGCCAGGTGCAGAGGCCTCTTCACTGGCTACCACAGAACTGGCATGACCAGCACACGAGCAGAACGGCCATGATGGCTGAGATGGAGGCTATCAGCAAGAACTCTGGCTTACCAAAGCTAATCCAGCAGAACTCCTCTGACAGGTGACTCTGGCTTGACTCTCCCTGGTCTTGCTGAAACCTTCTGAGAAGTACACAAGATATTTCCTACTCACCCTTCCTTCTTTTTTTTTCAGAGGTTAGACCTGTGTCATAGTCTGACAACTTCCCCAGACTCCTCCATCTTCTCCCATTTCCCCTCTCCAAATCTCCTACACATCCAATCAAGGGCCCACATGACTATTAAAGCCTGGTCCTCTCTTTTACAGGGTCATAAATTCAACTTTAATAATTTACTAGGGGGCTAGTTAAAAGTCCTGTGAACTAGTTCCTACTAAACTCATAAGAGACTGATAGATAAAAGAGAAAGCTAAGATCCAAGATGAGAAGGAACTACCAAGCAGAATAGAAAGATAGGCAATGAAGCTGACAAAGCTTTCCCGTCCCAGCAAGAAAGGCTACCTCAAAAGTGAACTAAGTCCAGAAGGCAGCCTGGTATGCCTGGAACACAAAAAGAAAGGTGATTAGCCAAAAGATGGAAACAACCCAAATTTCTACACACTGTAAAGTGGATAAACAAAGTGTGGTATATTCATATAATGTGGTATTATAAAGTCTTAAGAAAGAATGAAGTACTGCTACATACCACAACATGGATGAACCTCGAAAAGATTATACTAAGTTAAAGAAGCCAGACACAAATGGCCTCAACTGCATAATGCCACTTACATGAAATACCCAGAATAGGTAAGTTCATAAACAGAAAGCAGATTGGTTGCTGCCAGGAACAGGGATGAGGGGGGAATGAGGAGTTTTTGCTTAATAAGTACAGGGTTTCATTTTGGGATGATGAAAATATTTTTGCAACTATTTTTGTGATGCCTATACAACATTTTCAATGTACCAAATTGCACTGAATTGTTCCCTTTAAAATGGTTAAGTTTTTGTAAATTTCATCTCAATACAAATAAATTACATGGAAAATGTGGAAAGATATACATCAACCAAAAAAATGTTTAAAAATGAAAAAGAAAAGACATTTAAAAAAAATTTTAGTGGAGGGTGGCATATCAAACTGTCCAAACTTAGTATACCACACTTCTCTACTCTATATTTAGGACTTTTTCTGGTAAGTACCAAGCATATTTCCAAGGACAATGGATTGTGCTAAAAAAAAAAAAACCCTACAGTATCTGGCTGTGGAAACTATAGCTGTCTTCAATGATTCTAATACTCAAGGGATTTAAAAGAATTCAGCCCCAGAGGCTTTATACAAGATATACTAATATATACTATGTTAGTATATATTAGTACATTTTAGTATTTATTTATATTATTATATATTAGTACTTATACTAATATATAGTATAAAAATATACTATTTTATATAAAAATAGTAACAGTATAACCGAATTTGACCATATCTTAAAAACATAGTTCATTTACAAATCTACTGAGAGTTGAATAGGCTTCAGTGATGCCTGCGGTCACTGGGAGTCAAAGACTCCCTCTCCTGGGAGTGCCGGGTCCTTCTATGCCTATGGAATTTATCTTGGCTCCTACTTCTACTTCTATGACTACGCCCTTCAGATCGCCTGCTGTGCCGGCTAGAATGTGTGTCTGAGCTTCGCCCTCTGTCCCTATCCCTGTTCTTCTCTTGTCTTGCCCCATCTCTGTTCTTCTCTTCTCTTGCCCCATCCCTGTTCTTTTCTGTCTCCCTCTTGCTTGAGGACCTGTGCTCATGCTTGGTCTTCTCCTTCTTCGGCTCCCTCTCTAGATCTTCTGCTCCATCATGGCAGGTAGTCCTGACCTCAGGGGAGCCGGGGTAGTGCTTTTGCCCCTCCCTGGACTCTGACTTTTGAACCCTCTCCGAGTTCTTGCTGCTGTGCTTCTTAGGGCCAAGGTCATCCTTTTCCTTTATCATCTTGCTTCTGGGTGATGAAGAGGAGGATGGCTGTTCTGCCTGTCCCTCCCGATCAGCCTTCTCTTTTTCTTTCTTTCTTTTCTTTTTTTCCTTTTTGTCTGGAGGAAAAAGGGGGAGCAATCAGTAAAAAAAAGTATCTTTCTTCTCTGAGTACATTACATCAGACACAGGTGTTATAGTTCAAAAATGTGCAAATACTAGGAGGTGGAGAATGTGCATAAGGAAAACATCCTTGGCAGCAGCGTGAAGCAGTCACGGTCTATACTTTCAGGAAAGCGACTCCAAGAAGCCAATTTGGATGTCTGTCACCCTTAATATGTCAAGTTGCTATACAAGGCAATTCCCATCCTGAATTCTCCTTTAAAGATGCCATCTTCAAATACAGTCACATTCTGAGGTACTGGGAATTAGGACTTCAACATACCAATTTTGGCGGGGGGCAATTCTACCCATAACACTAGCCTTCCACTGACATCTCCCCTTTTCTCAATTAAAATAAGGTTTCGCACACCTTCCCCTTTCACACTTAAGAGCTGATTATCAACTACCAGTGACTGTTAGAAAGAGCAGCCACTAATACTATCCAGAATCTTATCTTAGGTCTTAATGCTTTACCTTTTTTGTGCTTTTTTGTGAGTTTTTCATCTTCAGAGCCCTCAGATGAACTCAATGAGGGGGTACGAGCCCCACAGCCCTTTTCCTGGAGCTCTTTGGTCACATCATCCATTTCTTCTGAGTCCTTAGGAGCTCGATAGTTAGACACGTGATCCACTCGAATAGTTCTTCCTTTGATCTAAGCAAGACAGGCAATGCTTCAACAAAGGCAGTCTTCATACCGAACTATTTAAACCCAATCTACAGAGAACCATGGTTTGAACCATATCCATTACCTTCTAATTTTATCACTAAGGCAGACCTGCCCAACTAGTGTGTCATAGCACGTACACCTAGATATTAATACGCTCAGCTCTCGGGGCAGCCAGCTGGGGCCTGGTGCAGCTATACCAGCAGCCTCATCAGTTTATCCCAGGATGTCATACAAATATCATGTTCTATGTGTGCCATGAAGTGAAAAATGACTGGTAAATACCATTTCAAAGCACAAGAATCAGGGAAGACTGAGAATTTAGATGCAAAATGAATCACACCCAATCTGTAACATTAGTTTACAGTGAAACATACCCTGGGAAGGTCTGGCAACTAGAAAAATTCTTGTAATCCAGCTTAATGTTACAACTGTTTTTATGACAAAGTAATTAGGAGGTAAAGTCAGACCAATAGTTGGGAGAGAGGAAGGAATTAAGAAAACACCATTTTGGCCGGGCTCAGTGGCTCAGCCTGTAATCCCAGCACTTTGGGAGGCCGAGGTGAGTGGATTGCCTGAGCCCGCGGGTTTGAGACCTGCCTGGGCAACTTGACAAGACCTCATCTCTACAACAACTCCAA